AATGGCGCCAATGGAAAAATGGCGCCGATAGACTTGCTCGACGGAGGGTTGCCACAAACCTTCAATTTGTAAAAAACGCAACATCTGCAAAGCACAATAAAACGAGGTATGCCTGTATATAGTTGTGGGGGGGGTTAAGTATCTTAAAAAAATAAAAAATACAATTAAGTAAAAAGAAAAAGGCCTTAAATTTTTAAAAATCCAATTTTATTTATTTATTTATTTTAAATCATTGATTGTTATCCACCCTGATGACAGGGAGGGAGCACTCTAGATATATTCTGTTCATATACTTTCCCTCTAAACATCCATTCCTCCACTGTCAGAGATAAGATACTGGGCTAGATGGACTTTTGGTTTGACCCAGTATGGCACTTCGTATATTAATCAGGAAGATCTCTTTCTCATGCAAGTGTGAATGGCTGTATGCTTCTCGTGATACTGGGATACACGCAGTATCCCACAGTTCTCTCCTCCCCACCTCCCCTCACCTTGCCCAAGCCAGAGGGAGAAGGAGCCAGAGACCTACAAGGATCCTGATGTAGCTTGAATATGGACTGCTTAGGCAGCAGCACCAATACCATCCTGCCTTCTGTGCCTCTGAACAGACCCGGACAGTTTGATCTGTGTAAGGAGTAGGGGGACATTTCCCTGTGGTTTTTTGTTCTGATTGTCCCTGGGACAGGTCAAACAGTGTGGGAATGGCCCGTTTCCTGATTGGGAGGGCAAGTGGCATTCACCCATGGTTTGAATGGTCCCAGGGCTCTAGAGTTGTTTCAGCCATGGTGTGTCTGCCTCTCCCCATGCACAGCTTTGGGTTGTCTTGGAGCTAGGCACAGAGCAGGTGGCATTCTCCCACCCTGGGTAAGAGATGAGGGCATTTCCACGCAGCTGGACCCATCCCATGACTGGGACAGGTCAGACTGCCACTGCCTTTTCTCTGCTGGGCAGATGAGCTGCTATATTTTTCTGTGATTCTACATTTTCTTACTCTTCTATGTTTGATGGTCTGAGCATTACGTTTTCAGGCTTAAAATGATTATCTAATGAAACATTTTTACTTTAACAGTTGAAATGTTCTACATGTCCCTTGAGTTTTGCCCTCTGACGTCTTTGATGTCCAGTAGTGAGAACCGATGGTGCAAATTGAGGGAATTATCTACGTTTTGTTTTAGCATTACTGTGTAGAATATTCCAGTTTTTAATTGTACAGGTGTAGTAATGCATAGTGACTTTTCAATCAATGTTACAGGTGTCTTTTCTGCAGTACCCTAGCTACTTTTTCTTTATGAAATTTGATTTAGTATTTTTAGAGCATGGATTTATTTACTGTTGTATGGAGGATAGCTGTGTAGTTCCTTGTTGACAAGGTCACATCCAAGGTGAATATTGTAGTAGAGAAGTATTTCAAACCAAATAATGCAGATAAGCGGTATGCTTGGCTCCTGTGAAGGGAGTTTTGTCTTTGAGCACAACTCGCATGAGCACTCTTGGATTCCATTTTTTGCGAGAGAGATGTATGAATCCCAAAGTATTTTGGGACTCTTCTTCATAACATGGACCCTGTATATAAAACAGCTTTGGCATCCATACGAGATGAATCCTGTAGGTGATACTTGCAGTACATTACTTATTGTTCATGAAGGTTAACCTAAACATGCACACTCAAATAATCTATTTTGCCTCTTTTCATTATGCAGGGTATTTATACGAGTGGAGTATGGGAAGAGAAATCAGATGAAATTTCATTTGCCGATTTCAAGTTCTCGATTACTCACCACTACCTTGTACAAGAATCTAGCGACAAAGATGGGAAAGAAGAGTTGGTAGAAGGTAGATCATTAGCTTTACTACATATCGTAAATGTAAATAGGGGAGGTAGGCTGAGGGTAAGTTCTGAATGCTATCTTGTTAATGTGAAAATTATGCCAAGATAAATTGACTTGCCTAGAAACTTGCAGAGTCCCCTGTGAAATTAAGTTTATTTCTTAAAGTATTTTGGAAGTTACAGTTTCTATGTAGTAATTTAAATGGGGCATGGAAACAACTTAAACTTTTATTTTTTTAATTTGATAATTAAGAATTGGTTCACTAAACTTGTATATAAATCTAAAGGCTCTTAATTCAGGTGCCTGACTGTACAAAAAGCAAAAATAAGTCATTGGTATATGGATTTGTAGAAACTTGTAAGTTTGTGTGATACTTGAGTGTAAAAAAGTTTGCCTTGTTTTTCCTTTTCTGTTTTTGTTATTTTTTTTTAAAGATCTCTAATAATTTCTTGAAAACCAGAAATTTTTATGTATCATAGCTACATAAAAATGTTACTCTTAAAGGGATACTTGTAATACTGGACAGGGTGCTTATTTGTCCATCCCTAACTTTTCTCTCTGTAAACTTCTTCCCTTTGTTCTGGAGATAAATCTCTTGTGCACAGAATGGCAAAAAAGGTCAATTGATTTTTCTGAACAGTTCTCCAAATCAAATAACTACATGGCTCTTTATTTGCTAGCCTATTCTACAGCCCTGTCTGACTTATAAGCACAACAGGGTTCTTGTAAAAATGAGTGTCTAGATTTTTTTTTTTTAAACAGGAAAATAGTCACAGTATTTCTATACATGATCGCAAACAAAGCTGAAAGTCTGAAATTTTTTTTTTTAAGTCTACCAGTGATGATGATATAGATTATACTGTTCCAGTTTAGTCAACCCCACATGTAAGTTAAGCCTCCATTTTCAGGTTCAAATTTAGGCAAAAAAGCTTTTTCCCTCTAACTATGACAGTGCTCTACACTATTATTGTTTGGCTTAGCCTGACTGCCAGGAGCCCAATTTGTAGGTCAGTCCTCGAGTGCAATCTATATGGTTCTTTGAGGAGGGGGAAGGGGAGAAGGATAACTTTGTATTTGGAATAGTATGGTAAATGCTTCCATTAATAATGAGAACATCCTTATGAATAGTAATATTTGCATTTATATTGAGTCTTTAAATATTCCTTGATATGGGTATTTTCTCCCTTTTTTCACCCCAAAGATAAATCTCAGTACAAAGAGGTTTATTGGTGTAAGCTCCCACTGCCTCAGCTGCAGTTGAGGGTGGCTAGTTTCTCTGAAAATCAGACCTTAAAAAGTTCAGGCAGTGTGACAGCTGAGATTAGAGTGTAAAAATCTTGGCCCCAACCTAACCTCTAGTTAAACATCATCATTTTTTGTTGTCTTCAATTTTGGTATAACCCATAAGTTCAGTTACTCTTTTTAAAGTAAATTTTTCTGAAACCTGGGGTTGACTATAACAGTGGTTTCATATTTTCCTGCGATTGTTGATCATATGCTCTAACTAATGCTATTGGGTAGGAACTTGAATCTTGTCGGGTTAACTTTTTTTTTTTGTGTGTGATGCAAATATTGAATCCTAGCACTTCATATTAGTCACATGTTATGGCAGGGATCAAAGAACTTATTTTTACTATACCAAATGTATGAAGACTTATAAAAGTATATGGTACTTTGTTTATAGCTTTTTCTTTTTTTAACACTTAAAGAATGCAGCAGAGTGTAGTGCTGATGAACTCACTTTCTTCAATGAAAATGATATGAAATTATGTAATTGCAGTATTTTAAGTCTCATTCTATAAAGCATTTTGACCTCTGCAACTCTTCAAGTGCAGAAAAACAAAATTCTCCTTATTCAACTAACATGTTTTGAAAGGATGGGCTTCAGAATTGGAAAACTTCAAATACACAAGAAGAAAACATGAGTTTGTTCTTTTAAGAAGTCCATTTTCATCTTCCATTCACATTTTTAAGTTTGTTACTCTGACCTCTTTCACCAGCACTGAACTGTTGTAAAGGCTACATTCTCTAGCAGCAGTCCAGGAACATATAACTACGGAATAGAAATTTCTTCATAGCTACCATTCCTTCACCTGATCCTGTAGTGACTACTGGTGGAAAAAAGCAGCATAGTAGATCAGCTCATGTTCTCTCTTCTCTAAGTAGAGTGCAAATTGGGATAATGTATTTATGGTGGGGAAGACTGCATTAGAAAGTTTATTTCTGGTTTTGTGACACTGGCACTGCTCTACAGAAGTCAGTGGCAAAATTCTTATTGACTTCAGTAGGTATATGATTAGCATTTTTAGATACAAATTTAATGTGTTCCTGAATGGAGGCTTGGTGATGGTTGTGTTGGGTGTTTTCTACTGGAAAATTGCCTAGAAATGCTCTGCTGTGATTGGAACTCTGTTGTGCTGGGTACTTTGTGTGCATAATAAAATGATAATATCTTCCCAAAATAGTTTATAGTAAAAGTAAATATATACTAATCATTTTTGGGCACCAGTTACGATTTGAGCTGGTGAAGGCAGTGTTGTAGTGAAGCTTGAGAAGCCCTGCCATTCTTTTTTAGTATCCTCTGCCTCGCTTCTCTGTTGTAAGGAATTAGGTAAGATTTGAGAATGGCTTTACTTTGACCAGTATTCTGCAGTTTGTGTAGGAGACATTCAAAGACATATAAATATAAGCTGAAAACTTAACGATCACTGGTACTTTTGAAAAGAGGGTGGGAGGAATACACACAGGGATGACACCATCCTCTTTCTACTATCATACCACAAAATAGATCTGAAGTATGAATGAACACAGAGGTTAGCATTGAGTTGACTAAAGGAATTATTTTTTATTTGGAAAAAAAAAAACAGTTTTTCTACTACAGTGGGCCTCATCAAAGAATTATTTTTTTAAAAGCAGTTAAAGAGCACATTCTTCTTTTCAGGCTTCCTCTAACTTCCTAAAAAAAAATACTAATGCTTTTTCATCATTATGAAATGGTTTCACAGATGCCCTTCCACTACCTATGCAGGATTTGCTATGTATGAACAACGATTTTCCTCCTAGAGCTCATTGTCTAGTAAGATGGTACGTAAAGTCTCTTTTCTTCTATATTGCAAGTAACTCTGGTGCATTCATACAGTTTTAATTAGAAGATTTTCAGTTACTACTGACAGAGTTTATCAGTACTTGTTAAGTTACAAGTCCTAAAAAGCTAAGCATGATTCTGTACCTGAAATATTTAGCGAATTTAAAATAGGTGCTGATGTAAATTTGAACCCAAAGTGAAAGCATTTAAATATTTTTGCAGGTTGAATTTCAGACTGAGTGTCTTGCTTCTTACCCTATGGAGAATGTAGTTGTTAATTGTCTCTAATAAGTATCTTCTTGCAATATAAGTAATAAACATGTGCTGTCCTAGATACTCTGTTCGTGCACTATTGTAAACGTAGATATTTAAAGGGACAGCATTTAATAACTGGCTTTCAGAGTGTGTGGTATTTGTGCATCATTTTGTCTATCAATCAGAAAAACTAATTGAAATCTTAAATACATTTGCTATTTTAGGAAATTGGTGATGGTTTAATTTCAAACTACGTAGGATAGAATCAAGAATATGCAGCTACTTTTTCTTGTGTAACCTATTACAATTTTTTTAAAGGTATGGCTTGCGTGAATTTGTAGTTATTGCCCCAGCAGCAAATAGCGATGCAGTTCTTAGTGAGTCCAAATGTAACCTCCTTCTGAGCTCAATTTCTATTGGTTTGGGGAACACTGGCTGGTAAGTGGAATTTTAAAAGCTTTTCTTATCAAGATGATGTTAAAATGATTTACTATGAGGAAGAATTACGTTAATAGCAACAGAAGATATTACAGGTTTAGGAAATTTACAACTTCAGATTTAATCAGAAAAATGCATTAAAATTATATCTTGCAATGGAAGCTTGGCCTAGTTTCAGTATTTTGACAGACATATGCAGAGTTTTTTAACATGTTGGTGTACTGAATCTACATCTATAACTTCTGTTCAGTAGATTTGAAAATGGGGAACTTTTGTTTTAAAATATCAAAAACTGTCAGAGCAACATGTTTACAAATCAGTATTTATGTAAACTAGGTCAGTTTGTTTACAAGTTTTATGGCATAAAGATTCTGGTGTTCCTGACAGTATTCAGACCCACTATTAAATTCTGATTTTTGTCTGTTTTATGATGAAATGGTTGGTATAACTCTGTGGCTTTGCACATGTTCCACTTTACCTAACAAAGTTATATATTATGCCTGTTATTTAATATGTTTTACTTGGCAGCTTTTCATTAGAACTCCAGTGTCACTAGATGGTGCTGTTTGCATACTCTGTTATGGAGAAATGTCTTATATTTGTTTTGTATATAATAATATTAAATGATTCTGAAGATTACAGAATACTCTAAACTATTTTGTAAACTAAAACATCAGTATCTTTCAGTCAGGTACCATTATTTGTGCAAATACATCATAAATGGAGAAGAATGTATGTTGGAGAATGTCAGGGCCCTGGAGTTCGCACGGACTTTGAAATGGTTCATCTTCGTAAAGTGCCAAATCAGTATACTCACTTATCAGGGCTATTGGACATCTTCAAATCCAAGATTGTAAGTATTTTTGCTAGAAGCTGTTTTTATAACCAGTGTGTAACATGGTTATCTTCTTTCACAAGAGCAGTTTTTTAAATATCTAGGTGACCAAATTAAAGATTGGGCTCAACATTCTGCATCAGTAGCATCCTTTTTTCCTTCATAGTCTGATTTAAAGTTCACTTTATAATGGCATGCCACTCCTTTTCCAGCCTCACAACAATTTTATTTTCTTAAAAGAAGGGATGGAGGACAAAAAAGCTGCCTGCATTTATTTTCTGATATTCTGTTCTCCATTTATTAATATATGTCTTAATAGCAAGCAGAATCCAACAGATGAAATACGGATAGCCCTGAGAAGATGATATTGCAGCATAGTAAAGCTGACTATAGGGCTGATCCTGCCTCGGGCAGGGGATTGGATTAGATGACCTTTCCAGGTCCCCTCCAGCCCTACGTCTCTGATTTTGTGACTACTTATTCGTAACACTGTTTGTATTGGGACTCTCTTCCTTAATGGAAATGTGTCCATTTTTGAACGGAAGTCAACTACATCCTGGTTATTCTTAGACAGCTTTCACAATAACTACTTATTTTTCCAAGTAGTCTATTTAAAATAAAATTTAGGCAGAAATTTGCCATGCTTGTCCTCAGGTGACGCAAACTTTTAGTAATTTATTTATTAAATGACCAATCTGTATTGGGCAATTCCCTAAGACATGACCTGTCTTTTTTAAGAAGATACAATCTACATTTGATATGACATAAGTAAAGGCTGTTCATTGGAAAAAAAAATGGTGATGAAGGGCACAGTGACAAGCATAAGATACGCATTTTGGTAGATTTGTAGTACTTTCTGACCTTTCATCTCACTGGGAGTTATTGAGTGAATTAATATTAGGAAAGAATTTTCTTTCCATTTGTGTGTAGTAGTATACAAAGAACTGAGGTGTGACAGTTTATATATTTGGGGGCTAGATAAAAAAAAAAATATCTGAACTTAATGGTTTGCATTGCTGGCTTGGATTGATTTGGTGGTGAAATACAGGACCATATAGCCTGTTATCAGTTTTCCTCTAACTTAATATACATTCTGTGTATTCATGGATTCAAAATGCTTTCTGCCTTATTTTTGTATCCAAAGCTGTTACATCTTGCTATTTCAAAAACTAACCTTTTGGCTGTGTGCAGGGGGTGAATCCCACTGAAATCAGTGGATTTGCTGACCTGCTTATTGTGGGCACGTTTTGTACCACATTCTTACTTAGAGTTAATATAGGACATCTAATTTGGTTTACTTGTAGTTGTGACTAGATACACCATCTGGTCTGATGTTCTTACAACATATATATTATTTTTCCCCCTGTACATTGTAAGGAAAAAAGTCATCTTAAAAAGTGGCCTAATTTTAAAACCAGGCTACTAAGATGTTTAGTAATAAATGACCTGCTTGGTCTTGAAAATGTAGAAGAGATTTGTGTTTCAATTATATTGAAAACCTATTTTTCACTTGTTTTTACCAAGTACTTCTATTTTCTTAAAGTGAAATATAAGACTATTATTGCAACTCTAGTTTAGTTTGTTACTTCAATTCATTTATACTCTTTTATTTCCTAGGGGTGCCCTTTAACTCCATTGCCTCCAGTTAGCATTGCTATTCGACTTACGTATGTTCTTCAAGATTGGTTGCAGTATTTCTGGCCTCAGCAACCACCAGGTAGAAGATTGGTGTTTTTAAAGTGTTTTTAAATTTGTTTATGTTTAAGGAAAAGGAATGTTTCTGTGTCTAGCTTAAACAGTGTCTGGGGACTCTGGTGTTAACTCAGGCTGAAGTAAAAGATGAGCTCCAAACCATTCATTGCGATGGCCTGGCTACCCCAATCTTAAAGCCCTATTTAATTAAAAAAAAAAAAGTGGGTATGTGGATGGGGTAGTGTTAAGACCTCGCATGACAGTATGAAATGAAGACTTGGTAAAAATTACAAGACTAGTATCCCTTTAGAGTTAGAAGAGTTAAGTATCTGTAGTCTTGTAAACAGAGTTATTCAAATACAGTAAGGAGAGACTTCTTAGGTTTCTGTTTTGTGATAAGTGAACAAATTTATGTGGAAATGACTGTTCATGTAACACAGGATTTTTTCACTGCAAGTTAAATCAGCTTGATCTGCCAGGGTATTTTTAGATCTGTATATGTGTGATGTAGCACCAGGTGCTGTATCATGTGCATTTGTCTAAACAGTGAAATGTGCAACGGTGCCAAGAAAATGGCACCAGTTGTTTTTGAACTAAAACACATCAAAGGTGTTTTAGTTCAAAAGGGCACTGCTGCCACTTCCCCAGCACTGACGCTCATTTTGCCATGTATACAAATGCATGTGACAAAATGCCAGGCATCTTAGCTCACATGTGGAGCAGACTCAATTAGTTGAGTCTGCTTTGACTCACTGGATCTCCTTTTTGTGCTGCGACATGCTGGTATGTGTATAAATGCCCCCAGTGTTCTCCCTTCTGAGCTAAAACAGTTTTCTACCCTTTTGCCTCTGAACATTTTCTAGCTGTTGCTAGATTCAAGGATAAAGTTATTGGGCTTATTTGGAATTATCTTTTTTGCGTTGACATTTTGTTGTTTGCTTTTTATAAAGATATTTAATAATTTTGATTCTAAAACTTCTGTCTTTACTTGTATTTAATTATTTTGACCTAAGGAATTTCAGATGTAGAAAATAAAGGGACACTGGGCAAATCTAGATGTTCAGCTAGTGTGTCTCATTAAACTCTGGCTCAGTTTGCGCCTGACTCAGCTGTTCCGAGGCCCAGCATCTTCACGTGCACTTGGGACCACAGCAATTTGAGCCAGGGCAGAGCAGCCCTGGCCTGGCAGCAGGCAGCGGAGGTGCTGGCTGGGTTATGAGCGCCCAAAGTGTGTAGCTGACCCCCCAAGCCTGCTGCAAGCCTGGGGCTGTTCTGTCCTGGCTCAAACTGCTGTGTTCCCAGTCATGGTCCACACGTACTTTCTGTGCAGTAAATGACTCTGCCATAAGACAGTATTGCCCTCAACAATACGGTCATACAGCAGAGTTAATGTACTGCATCCTAATGTAGACATGCTTTACTGTGGAGTTAATTAGTCAACTGCAGTAAAATGCATGTGTAGATGTACCCCATGTAAACTTGAACTCTAGTACTAACTTTAAAAAAATGCATTGAAATTAGTTTTAGGTGCTACATCAGTGCTGTTGTACTGCTCTCAGTTTTGCAGTTGTATAATCCCACTTTCAAACTCCTTAATTGAGTTCTCTCTCCTGTTGCTATGTAGAAAACTGAAGATAGTTTTACTTATCTCCATATATAATGTGCAGTAAGAGAAACCTAACTGTAGGTGTATACTACAGACCAGCAGACGAGAGGGAGGAGCTCAATCTGGTGTTTATTTGAGAATCGGCAGAGGCCACGCATGCATGGGACACAGTCGTCATGGGTGACTTCAATTACTCAGACATCTCTTGAGTGGAACACTTGGCTAAGTCAGATCGGTTATGTTGCTTCCTGACCTGTATTGAAGAGCTCTACCTGACTCAGGAAGTGCATGGGCCAATCAGAGGTAGCGCTCTCCTAGACTTGATCTTGGCCAAAGGAGATGATCTGGTAGGTGACTTGAATATAGAGGGGAAAGGTATGCATGAAGAGTGGTCATTCTTCAAGGACACTACCCTCAAAGCACAAAAGAAGTCTATTCCCATGCATAGGAAAGATAGCTGAAGGACTGGTAAGCCCTTTGGCTTAATAGGGATATCACAGTCCTCTTGAAAAAGAAGAAAGGAAGCTTGGGACAGTCCCCAAGGAGGACTATACAACAATGGCCCACACTTGTCGGGAGCAGATTAGAAAGGCTAAGGGGGCAACTGAATTTAAACTAGCAACAGAAATCAAGGACAATAAGAAGTCCTTCTGTAGTTATGTAGGGAACAGGAGGAAAACAAATGAAGCTTGAGGCCATTGCTTAACTCGGGACAGCTGGTTACTGACACTCGGGAGACAACTGAACTCCTGAATGACTACTTTGGTTTGGTATTTCATCAGACTAAGGAGAAAATTATACTAGATAAGGCTCAGAATGGGCTGTTGACACTGAGCTGGTGTGTGATTAGTTAGAAAAGTTAGACATTTATAAGTCAGGAGGACTGGATGAACTTCATCTGAGAGTGCTGGAAGGGCTGGCTGAAGTCATCGGGGGACCTCTGGCAAAACTCTTCCAAAATTCGTGGCACTAGGGGGAGGTCCCTGAAGACTGGAAGAGTGCCAGTGTTGTGCCCATCTTCAAGAAGGGGAGGAGAGAGAACCCTAACAACTATAGGCCAGTTAGCCTAACTTCTATTCCAGGAAAAATCGTGGAAAATGTCATCAGCGAGTCTATGTGCAGTATGCTTGCAGAAGGTAGGATTTTAAATGACAGCCAGCATGGCTTTGTTGCGGGCAGGTCTTGTCTTACCAATCTCATCTCCTTCTATGACCAGGTAACTCACCACCTGGATAAGACATTGGTCAACATTGTATACCAAGACTTCCGAAAGGCCTTTGATCTGGTATCCCATGATGTTCTCTCAGGAAAATTGGAGGATTGCGGGCTTAACTGCTTGACAGTTAAGTGGGTAGGAAGCTGGCTGTGGGGTAGGACCCAGAGAGTTCTAATGATCAGTTCTGTGTCATCCTGGCAGAGTGGCCAGTGGTGGTCCCTCAGGGGTCTATGCTTGGTCCAGTGCTTTTCAACATCTCTATCAATGATTTGGATGTGGGGCTGAAGAGCTCACTGTCCAAGTTTGTGGATGACATCAAGTTATGGGGGAGCGTGGTCACGCTTGAAAATAGGTTGCAGATACAGGCAGACCTAGACAGGCTGGCAAGTTGAGTGGATTGGAACCAGATGAAGTTCAACATTGAGAAGTGTAAAGTGCTCCATCTAGGGATGAACAATCCCCAACATACTTGCAGGCTTGGTGGCACCAAACTGACTAGCACCACGACTGAAAGGAACCTAGAGGTAATAATAGACCATAGTATGAACATGAGCTGTCGGTGTGATGCTGTAGCCAGCAGGGCAAACAATATTCTGGCATGCATCAACCAGTTCATCTCAAGTAAAACCAAGGAAATGACTGTCCCGCTTTACTCGGCATTGGTGAGACTCCAGCTGGAGTACTGCATCCAGTTCTGGGCACCACACTTCAACAAGGATGTGGAAATGCTTGAGAGAATCCAGAGAAGAGCCACCCATATGATCAGAGACTTGCATGGCAAGCCATACGAGGAAAGTCTGAGGGACTTGGGTCTCTTCATCCTAAAAAACAGAAGGCTGAGAGGGGACTTGGTAGCAGCTTACTGTTATATCAGGGGAATACATTGAGGGCTTGGCAAACATCTGTTCACCAGGACACTCTTGGGGAAAATCAGGAGTAATGGCTACAAACTCCTGGAAGACCAGTTCAGGCTTAATGCTAGGAAAAACTTCACAGTCAGGGTGTTCAGACTGTAGACTGAACTCCCTCCAGAGGTGATGCAATTGTCTACCCTGGAAATCTTCAAGAGGAGACTGGCTGGTCACCTTGCTGAGGTCATTTGACCCCAGTTGTCTTTCCTGCCTAGTGCAGGGGAACTGGACCTGATGATCTTGCGAATTCCCTTCCAGCCCCTTCCAATTATCAACCCTGCATCATAGATTCATAAATTGTAAGGCTTAGGTTCTATTCCTCCCTCTGCTATAGATGTGCATATCAAGGTGGTTAGTGCCTTTTAAAAACCTCAGACAGACTGAGAGATCTTGGACCCAATGCTTAAATTTTGACATTTTCCTTGTTTTAAAAATATTTTGATAATAAATTAATATGTGGGTGAAATAATGTTGTTTTTGAGCTGGTAGATATAAAGCTGAGAGAGAATCTATTTCAAACCCAGACCATTACAGCTGTGATGGGTATGAATGGGAGACAGGTAATTGACTAGCAATGAATCATCTGAAACTTCATGTTACTAATAAAAAGGGTGTTTTGAGAAGAGATCTCTAGCTGTAGGTGGTGCCATTGATTATTATTTTATTTTTTGATAGTTTGAACAGTTGAAAATGTCTCAGACTAGAGATGCACACATTATAGGGGACTGACTTCATGGTCTATTATAATCTACTTGATTCCTTCTAAACTTTTCATTGCACATATGTTAATGACTGTCTCTCCCTTTTAATGGTCTTGATGTTCCACCAATCAAGCTAGCCTTTCTTCTGCAATTCTGCTGCTGCTTAGTTGCTCCTGGTAATGTAGCTCCAATTTACAGCCTTGCAAACTGTTTTTAATTAATCCTAATAAAGTTATACTTGTTTTTGCATCAGTCAAACTGAATAATAGGCCCTAAGCCCCTAGTATATTAGTACAGCTTCCAGTTTCTTTTTACCTGAAGAAAAATGTATTGTCCTGTTTGTTAAGATGCACCTCACCACGTGCATTGGCTTTTCAAAATCCTGGATCTGCCCATGATCCTACCCACTGCTGTGTAGGGTCAGACAAAGGACCGCTGCTTTCTTCAAGGTGATTGTTTTGATTCATTGCAGCAGAAAAATGCATTGTGGGCATTATCTTTACTAGGCAGCAACCTATTTATTGTTCTAGTAAACTAACCACTTTTATATCAAGAAAAACATGTTGATCTCTCTTCAGATATAGATGCTCTAGTTGGCGGAGAAGTTGGAGGCCTGGAATTTGGGAAGCTGCCATTTGGTGCCTGTGAGGATCCAATAAGGTAATACTGTGTACAGGAAATTGTGCAGGTTATAATGTAGGCTGGAGGAAAAATGAAAGTTATTTTATAACTAATTTTATATGGAGTTGGGCTGGCCAGCACCTTGCTGTGTCACAATATACTGAAGATAAAAGGCTTCACAGTTTAAATACTGAACAGAAACAATATAGTGTATTCTAAGGATTTACAATTACCTGATATTTGACCACTTACAGTAAAACTATTTTCATTTCTAATTTTTTATGACAATCCCATAACACATGGACATTTTGATGCAACATAATGTCCTATAAACGTTTTTTACAGCTTTACATTTATCAGTCAAGTCTTAACATCATCACTTTTGTGCCAAACCATACTATAGCGGCAGATGATTAAGTTTTTAACTATGATGTGACCCATATGCAAAGTATCAGACATAGGCCCCTGTTACACATTAAATATATTACACAATTAACTCGTTGATCATGCAATAAATTCAGACTGGACAGACATACGAAGTAAGACTGGCCACTGCTCCTGGGAGAGCAGTAACTGTTCCAGGAGAAACTGAATATCAGGAGCATGGTAACTTGATTTCTCTGTCTTGCCCCTTGATGAAATTCTGCCAAGGGTCTGTTGCAGTTTCCCCTGCCCCCCGCTTTAGTTGATGGAAAAAGTCTCCATTCATCTTTTTCCTGACCACATTCTGGTTTACCTTCCCAGTAAGTTGGACACTAAGATTTTTACACATATTAAAGGAATCCCACAATATTCCCTGAGTGTAAAGGAAGTGGAAAAGAACTATGTATGCCTTATAATAGTTACAATACTTAGTACATTCAGGAAGGGCGTGTAAATACCACAGTAATGAACATACACCTAGGAACCAAAAGAACAGTTACACTTTGTGGAATATATCATCTTATTTGAGTTAAAAATGCATCTTAATTTTTTTCCTTCCTTGAAGTAAATTAATTGCTAATGTATAGTTAAATAACATAATAAAAAACCTCAAATTGGATTGCCTCATTAGTCTTGTATAAAAATGTTGATCATCTCTTGCATCATATTTGGTGTTTTTATTGGGCTAAGCCCTAGAGGGTGATTTTTCAGAAGCATAAATCAAAAGCCCTCAATTGGATATAGCCACAGGCCCTCAGTATGCAGTTGGGCTTAAAGAGTGGGAGAAGATAGGATAGATCACAGTCA